ATGCTGCTTGGCCTGCTGTGTTCATCCAGCTCTACACCTTGTTATCTAATATAAAATTTAATGTGCTATTATATGAACATGTCTTAAAAGTTATTGGTTTACTTTGGTGCTCGTGATTTCAGTTGCCAAAATAGAAGTCGTGCATTGCCAATGGTAATCCAAAGGGCACCTACTTGCTTTAATATAATCAGTTCCAGCTGAATTCAATGTGTACCCATCATTTTCACTCCAAAGAGAAGGCTCTTGTGGTACAGTGGTAGTGTCCCTACCTCTGAGGCAGATGACCCATGTTCAAGTCCCACTGGCTCCAAAGGGGTATAATAGCATTACATCTCTGAAGAGGTTTATTAGAAATAAGTTCACTCAAAGGGGGGATGCTCTTGTGGTGCAGTGGTAGAGTCACTACCCGTGGATCGGGAAGGCCTGGCTGAAGCTCAAACTTCTCCAGTGGTCTGTAATCTTATCCCTGAATAGGTTGATTAGAAAAATGATTTCTGCTGGTCAGTTAGCTCAGATAGTTAGGGGATGTGGCTACTAATACCAAGGTCATGAGCTCAAGCCCCATACTAATTAAATCTGCTGGCTTTCAACAGATGATTTGCATTTTCACAGGACCTCTTATGGTGCAGTGGTAGAGCCCCTACCCCTGGACTGAGAGTCCTGGGTTCAAGTTCCAACTGTCCCAGAGGTGAATAATAACAGCTCTGAACAGGTTGAAAATACCTGTAACTCAGTTCCATCAAGATTGGTTGATTTGTTTTGCTTGTCTGTGTTTGGAATGCAGAAGCACCCCAAAAATGTGCCCACCCCAACTTATTATAATACTCTCCCTTGCTGGAGCTGCTAAATGAGACAGTATTTGAAAAGGGGGTTCTTGTGGCACAGTGATAGTGTTCCTACCTCTGAGCCAGGAAATCTAGGTTCAAGTCCCACCTGCTTCAGATGTGAGCCAATAACATGCCTAAGCAGGCATATAGCCCCCTCAACAGAAATGCAAAATTGATGAAAGAACAAACAATTGAATTGCAATGTGGGAACCTGACAAAATCTAAAAGGGATAACAAGGTGTAGAGCTGGATGAACACAGCAGGCCAAGCAGCATCAGAGAGCAGGAAGGCTGACGTTTCGGGCCTAGACCCTTCTTCAGAAATGGGGGAGGGGAAGGGGATTCGGAAATAAATAGGGAGAGAGGGGGAGGCGGATGGAGGAGAAGATAGGTGGAGAGGAGACAGACAGGTCAAAGAGGCGGGGATGGAGCCAGTAAAGGTGAGTGTAGGTGGGGAGTTAGGGAGGAGATAGGTCAGTCCAGGGAGGACGGACAGGTCAAGGGGGCGGGATGAGGTTAGTATGTAGGTGATGGGGGTGGGGCTTGAGGTGGGAGGAGGGGGTAAGTGAGAGGAAGGACAGGTTAGGGAGGCGGGGGCAAACTGGGCTGGTTTTGGGATGCGGTAGAGGGAGGGGAGATTTTGAAGCTTGTGAACAGCACCTCATATTCCACTTGGGAACCCTACAGCCCAATGGTATCAATGTGGACTTCACAAGCTTCTATCCGCCTCCCCCTCTCTCCCTATTTATTTCAGAATCCCCTTCCCCTCCCCCATTTCTGAAGAAGGGTCTAGGCCCGAAACGTCAGCCTTCCTGCTCCTCTGATGCTGCTTGGCCTGCTGTGTTCATCCAGCTCTACACCTTGTTATCTCAGATTCTCCAGCATCTGCAGTTCCTACTATTTAAAAGGAGGCATATTGGTGTATGATCTGTAACAATAGAAAATGTCATTTAAGGAAAAACAAACATCAGGCAGTATCTGTGGAGAGAACAGACAAGTTAACAATTTGACAGAACTGATAAATATCAATCTGTATCCAAGACAATTTGTAAGACAGGAAACCAAGACACTTTCCTTTGTGGACAGAGTTTATCAACTACTTACTTTTACAGTTCTTTCCACCCGTTAATGCAGGCCTTTCCAAATGTGGGGATTCAAATCCCAAATGAGGTTACGAGCTGAAAGTTAGGGTCACAAGCTCTAAGGCAGCAATGACCACTGTGGTGCTCTAAGTTATAAGCATAGAAGCTTACATTGTGGACATAGGCCATTCAGCCCATCAAGTGCACATTGATCGTCTGAAGAGCATCCCACCCAGACACACAGCCCTATCTTATCCCTGTAACCCTGCATTTCCCATGGCTAATACACTAGCCTTCACATGCCTAGACACTGGGCAATTTAGGATGGCCAATCCACCTAATCTGCACATCTTTGGACTGTGGGAGGAAACCTATGCAGATATAGTGGAAATGTGCAAACTCCACACAGACAGTCACAGTCACTTGAGAAACAACTGGGTTGCTGTGAGGTAGCAGCTCTAACCAATGAGCCACCGTGCTGCCCAGCTGTGCTCCCCTTCAATAGGCCCCTAGTCTCCATTCCCCCTTCCCATGCTCTCAGTTCTCATTGAGAGGTTATGACAATTGTGAAGCCCCAAAATTGAGTCACAGTGGAAAAGAAGTTTGATAAGCACTGTTACAGACGCTCCATGTACATATACAGGAGTTTCTAATCAACCTGTTGAGAGATATTATTACACACCCCTGGAAAAGGTGGGACTTGAACCCAGGCCTCCTGCCCCAGAGATAGGTACACCACCACTGCACCACAGGACTCCTGGTGATACATCCACTGCCAATAATCATTTTATTTATTTATTCCCTGCATTCCTGAGGATCTGACTCCTACTGGCAATGGGTTTTAGGATATTCTCTAATCAACCTTTTCAGAGTTGTTATCACACACCTCTGGAATAGGTGGAACTCGAACCCATGCCTCCTGGTTCAGAGGTAGGTACACTACTACGGGATAGATACTTTTTATCAACCTTTTCAGGAATGCTATTATGCACATTTTGAGGAACCTCCTGGCCCAGAGGTAGGGACACTACCACTGTGTCACAAAAGCCTCTAGGACACTACCCCTACCCTCGTCAATTAATAACCACCAACTTTTTCTTGTCAACTTTAAATAAAGACATTATAAACGTAACAATGTGATTAATCAGATTTAACAATAAAGAGCTTAGATATTCAAAAGATTAACTTAACTGCTCTCTGAACTGGTCCTGCCTAACATCTAATTGCATCCAGTTATTATTTTGATTCAGTTTTCCAGCAGCCACTATAATTTTCTTTTAGTTCAAAGAAACTAAAGACATTACAGAAAATAAGAACGATGGAACAGTTGGGATCATGTGAGAAACCCACTAAAGATAAAATGATGAGTTTGAGTTGAGCACGAATATAAAAATAGGAGAAATAGGCCACAGAATGTAACCATAGTGTCTGGTGTGTTTAAAATTAAATAGGCTGACCTTAACTAAGTAACATTTAGCATTTATGGTGCAGCAAGTCCAGCTAAGTACTGATTTTAAACATGAATGTGCAAATTAATTTCCATTCACTAACTGACTAATTCATTCACTAATGAACATGGCATTTCAGATTATGTTCCTCTTGAGCTTAACTCATTTTATATTGCAGATTTGAAACTTGGCTGTTTAATACCAACAGCTGATTTTCTTTGTATGCTTCACATGCATTCCATTTATTTATCATTACTGAATGAGTCAAACACCAGCTGGTCTGGTTCTTTTTATGCTGACTTCATTATTTTGCATTTCCACAGTGTCACATGAATTCCACAGGAACAATTGTCCCATGATCTTTGAGAAAAAGAGGATAAAGGCCAACAGCTGGGGTTTTATTTTAATTGGGGCCAATGAAAATTAGTTTGAAGGGTGTGTCTTATTTTCAAAGAGTGTGTTCTGCAGGCTGAATTAAGTTCAACTTTTGTCATTGCCAATATGTCAGGAGTGATATTTTCTAATCAGTGACATGGCATTGCTTGCAAATTTAATAAATGGAGAATATACTGGGGCATAAACCTTGTTTTACATTGTAATTAGAATGTCGGTTTAAAGCTATTTCATTTTCCACTGAAAAGTACTTTTAGTACAAGTCCTACACCAGGATCCAACTCAATTCTGGAGCAAAGGCGAATAAGACTCGGTGCGATGGGGGAATCTCTGCCTACTTCACCTCAAGTCTGCTTAGTCCCTGACTGCAGATTTATTGATTTTAAAAAGTTGTCAGTCTCCTGTTTGGATGCTTGGACCTTATTACAATAAATTGGGAGCTCTGCCAGGGTTGAAACTTCACAGGCAACTCAAGCATTTGAAGAAATTAACATCAGGATGTTCCCTTGATGGCCTTGTTGCATCCAATTTCAACCAATCCATTACCAGATCTAATCTCTATTTCCACCCTATATGCTACAATGTCTTAGCATCTGTGCAAACTGAATACCAATATTGATTGACGTGAGGCTGAAGTACCATACATCAAAATAAGCCATTGTTATTTAAATCCAGAATGCACTGATTGTCATTCTTGATGTATGGTACTTAGCAGATTAGGTACTGTCTACTTTTGAAGTCAAGATTACTCCAATGGACTTCACACATACAATGTGATTGCCCAGTTTAATGAATCCTTAGGTCATTCATTGTAAGGTCTATAGTAACTTTTACCATTTGTGTAAGATTTTGGAAAGACATCACAATTGCACAAAAAATGTTAAAGAACATTTCTGCAAGCCAAAAATAAATTAACAGAAACAATTTAGATGACTGAATATATAGACTATCCATTTCCAACTGCTCTTCCAAAAAATTTCCTGCCTTGTATTATTTTATACATTTAGAAAAGTAGTATTAAGTAACCTTGGACTTAACGGTGCTTTTCAATTTAGCATATGTTGTACATAAATTTATGGACTATATTTTTTTAACCTGCCCTTCAATATCCTTTATTTTGGCTTCCAAGGTCAGTTTTGCTCTTTGTTGCTCTTTGCTCAGGTTCTGAATTCCTTCATATACTGATGTCATGTCAGCTGTTAATATGGCAATGCTTGCATCACACCTATGGGAGGAAGCAGGTAGAGTCATGAGACATCCTTCATTATCTGCTAGACCTTTAAAACAAGTATCTACAGGGAAATAGTTAATGTACCATTGAGATAATTTTCCAAGTGTGGGATGGTGGCTGTTTGCAGCTTCACCTGTCTCCAGTGTTCCAGTGATTTTCCAAAACATGCTAACCATAGGCACAATTCATCCAGCACATTCAATACTGGTCAGCATCTTGCATTTTCATGTTAGTGCTGAGGCCAAGATGAAAGTTTCCACTCTCTGATTGATATTAGGCTAAAGTGAGTAGAACAAGCTCTAACTAGTTTGGCAGAGTTTCCCATCAACAAACAAACCACAACATAAATATGTCTCTAATCATAACTGTCATAACAATAATTTAATTCAAATGCAACAATGAACTAATAAAACCTACTCCTTAGTTACTAATTTTTAAAAATATTTTAATTTTTCCAAAACTCTGAGCATGTTTTCCAGGTGGCATGATGGCTCAGTGGTCAGCATTGCTGCCTCACAGTGCCAGGGACTCAGATTCGATTCCAGCCTTAAATGACTGTCTGGAATTTGCATGTCCTCCCCGTGTCTGCAAGGGTTTCCTCCAGGTGCTCCAGTTTCTTCCCGCAGTCCAAAGATGTGCAAGTTAAGTGAATTTGCTGTATTAAAATTGCCCCACAGTGTCCAGGGATATGCAGGCTAAGTGGGTTAGCTATGGCATATGTGGGGTTACAGGGATAGGGTCTGGGTGGGAACCTCTTTGGAGGGTCAGTGTGGACTTGATGGGCCAAATGGTCTCTTTCCATCCTGTACAGATTCTGTGATTCTATATTAAGTCAGTAATTAAAAATGTTATCAGTATCCTTCCCTCCATGAAACACCATGGATACACAGCAAACTGTCCATTTTAGATGAGGTGTCTTCATACAGCAGCCCTTTACTGATGGCTGAAGAGGCCAATCCTTGGGAGACAGGTTAAACTTCAATGCTACACACGAAGCTACATAGTGTCATTGAGGGTTGTTCTTTTCAACATTGTCAAGTTGCTGCAGCCACTTATCATCATGGTGTATATGCCGACCCACAAGAGGTGCTTGTGTTTTCCTCTGTCATCAGTTAATGTCTCTCAGGTGCAATATCCAATGTTTAAGAACTTCACGACATACTGATAAGTCTTCTTGAAGTGGAGCTATGGCTATCCCACTGGTCATCTGGCTCTGGCTATCTTGCCATAGAGAACTTCATTGGGTCAGCTTGATGTTATTCCATGCTTGTTTTCTAAGTTGGCTAAAGATGTAGTTCTTTTCCCAATGTTCTGTCAACTTCTGCTTTGATGGACAAATTATGTGCCACCATGGAGCCAAGGTAGGTGAACTTGGTAAACGCCTGAGGTGCTTTAAGTGTGATGAAGGGCAGAGAGGCAATATCTTATCCCAAGACCTCAAGATTTACTTGATGCTTGTATTCAGAAAGAATAAGCTATAAGCATGGGGGAGAGAGCCATTGAGTTTTTGTATCTCAGTTTCCATGCCAGTAACTAGCACAGTATAATCAGTGAAGAGTTCATAGGAGTGTAGAATTCTCTGATATGTATTTTAGCTTCACTTTCAGTCTTGATAGAGTGCAGAGATTGCTGTCCGTCTAATGTGCAAGCGGATTCCTGAATCAGTGAAGGTCAGGTGCGTAGAGAAGAAGATGCCAAACAAAGTGGGGAACAGGACATAGCTCAGTTTCACTCCATTCTTCAATCTGAAACTGTTGGGAATGGAGCTTGAGAGTGTACAGTGCATTTCCTCTTGTCTTGGAAGGAGCAGTTAAGACTGAAGACTGCTTAAGGCTGAGGAGCCTTAATGGGGGACCAAGTTTATCCTAAAATCTTTTAGCAATTGTAATTAGAAACTGTATCATGGAATCATAGAATTATTATGGTGCAGAAGGAGACCATTCCACCCATCATGCCCGCAATGGCTTTCTTCGTAAGTAATAGTATGCTAACATGTTCTACTCTGAATCATTCAGTCCTTGGAGCCTGAACTGCCATTGAATAATATAAGGGCTGATCTATTTTTGGTTTCAACTCCACTCTCCGATCTGTCCCCTATAAGTACTGAATTCCTTGTTTATGAAAGATCTATCAAACACCGCCTTGTATAAATTTAATGGGCTAAATCTTACTAGAAATTTGCTAAATGTCTTTTCCGCAAGTCGCATGGAAGGTTTCTTTCTGCAAGACCTAGTGAGTTTTCTTGTGCTTTTATTTTAAATGTGCCTCATTAAGTCTACACCAAAACACCACATCCTAGGATCACTGGTGATGGCACTATCTTTGCATCCTAGCCATGCACCTGGTCAAGCATTGTCAGTCTGGAGTTGCCCTTCATGAAGCAAATAGTGGTACAGCAGCCACAAACCAATGCTTCTCCGGGCACACAAGTCACACAGTTGACACTAAATTACACAATCAACTGCACAATCCAACATATAGCAATGTCTAAGCACCAAGCCACACTGCTTACTTGTCCTTGGCCTCATCCCATCTTACAGTCTTGTCTAAATCACAGTTACTGTTTCCCTAATGCCCACTGCAACCGAGCATCTTAATATTTTTTACATGATAAGATTCCATTTCACAAACTGGAAAGCATTCAAATGCTTCAAAGCAGCCATTTTTATCCTCCAACAGCAAAGGTTAATAGAAACCAAATCAACAAACTGCATTTGCCTCTTGGATCAAAAACAAAAACACCACTTGCCTGTTCAACACCATGAATCCTACAGCGAATGAATCACAGAATGGAAATAGGCCATTCGGCCCAACAAGTCCACACCATCTCTCAGAGCATCCCACCCGGACCCATCCCTTTGTAACCCACCTAATCTACATATCGCTGGACACTATGGGCAATTTAGCATGGGCAATCCACCTAGCCTGCACATCTCTGGACTGTGGGAGGAAACCGGAGCACCCGGAGGAAATCCATGCAGACATGGGGAGAATGTGCAATCTCCACACAGACAGTCGCATGAGGGTGGAATCGAACCCAGGTTGCTGGCGCTGTGGGGCAGCAGTGCTAACCACTGAGCCACCATGCCACCCTAATGATCAACTTGTCCGAGCTCTGATTTATTGGAACCACGTATCAACTAAGTCCTACCTGGCTTGTACCACGTGATGCTACTCTATCACACAGAATGTGAAGAATTTCCTGATCAATGTCTACATCCTCTTTGGAGGAGGAGGACGAAGATTGCTCCTTCTCTACCAGCTTATCAGCCTCCAACCCATCCCCCTGCACCTTGTCTGCTCCAGCTGTGAAGAGCACAGCATGCTAGGATTATACAACCCACTTTGTCTGGACAATACCATAAGGACCCCAAAGGCCAATCCAAGCAGCAGAACTTCATCTACAGGAAGCTTATCGTCTGTTCCACCATGATTCTGGTCAAAGAATGGGCTGCATTGCATCCATGCTCAGCCTCAGTCAAGGGGTGCATAATGGAATTACCAGCCATGTTTGCAGTACCCTTTGACCCCCTGTAGCCATCCATACAAGGCATCTGACTCCTGAAATGGATGAAGAACATGAGAGTTCTCAAGGACCTAGGCATTGTAGCCGCTCCCAGCAAACCTGGTGCAGATCTCTGAGATGTGTACTGATGATCACAGATAACTTGCATGATAATGGAATGGAATCCTTTTCTACTGATGCACTCAGCTGCTTTATGATATGGTGCACTCAATTCAATGTGTGTACCGTCTGTAGCACCTTGCTCTTTGGTGGAAGCCAGCTATGTTGATAAAACCTCCTATTCGGGCTGCAACACTGCCCTTGTCAGGGAAAACAAGATAAAGCAGTGTGATCTGACACAAATTGCATTGGTAACTGTCTTGAGAGGTGCCACACAGGTCCCAGTAGGTAACTGGAAGGAGCCAGTTGCATATAAGTTCAACACAGATATCATCTTGACACCCACTGATATAGGATAGCCACCCACTCTTTCATTTTTTTTTATTATTGATTCACAAGATGTAGGCATCACTGGCTGGACCAGCATTTCTTGTCCATCCCTAATTGCCCAGAGGGGAGTGAAGAGTCAACCATATTGCTATGGGTCTGGTGTCATATGTAGGCCAGACCAGGTAAGGATGGCAGATTTCCTTCCCTAAAGGATATTAGTGAACCAGGTAGGTTTTCCTGACAATCGACAATGTTTTCAAGGTCATCATTAAACTCTTATTTCCAGATTATTATTGAATTCAAATTCCACCATCTGCCATGGTGGGACCTGAACCTTAGTTCCTAGAACATTACCTGGGTCTCTGGATTAATAGTCTAGTGATAATTCCACTAGATTCTGTCCAAAGACCCAGCTTTCATTGCTATCTGGGGAAGAAAATTGCACATAACAACAACCCTCTGAGTGAAAGAAATTCTCATAATATGTTTTTTATATTGTGAGTTGGAGTTCTAGGCTGATTCAGGTATTGGAATCTCTAAGGTGAAGTAAAACACTTTTGTTTGAAGGAGAATCAAAGTCCAAAAAGTCTGATACATTGTGGATGTTGGAAATCTAAAACAGAAACAAAATAAAATGCTGGAAATACTCAGCAGGTCTGGCAGCATTTGTGGAGAGAGAAACAAGAGTTAAAATTTCCACTCAAGGTGACTTCTCATCACATTAGCTCTGTTCAAATTTCCTTAAAGATGCTACCTATTTCCAGTACTTTTTTTTGCCTTTATTGTAAAGAATGAACTCTCTCATTTTTTCTCTATGTTTGACTGTGGATTGAAATGGCAAAAGGACTGTTTTCAAATCAAGAATTATGGAAAGGATTGCTGCATGTTTCTAAAGCAAGTTGCCAAAACTCATTGTAAGTGATGTTTACACTGCTGCTTTGTTCAATCAGATGGGGTGTTTGTAGATGGGCTGGCTCCAGGAGAGGGTACAGAGTGAGATTTGGCCAGCAACAAGTAACTGATTGGTTTGCAGAATTGTGACTAGCTGTAGATAAGAAAGGCCATCTCCCTGCCAACAACTAAATGGTTGGCTTCTGGGTAGCTGAACAGATTATGGATGTGAATGATACTGAGAGAAGGGTTCAGGGATGGGGAAATGGTGTGTCTTTCTGCATTAAAAAAGACCTAAAGCCTGAAGAAAGCCAGTTTACTTTCCCTAACCAGTTGCTGTAAACTGTGGCTTTCAAATAGTAACTAAAGGTTGTTGCAATTAGTGTACCCATTACATATACTTTTTTGCAAGGAAGTGAAAGGTGACAGAAGAGCAATTTAAAAACAGTAAGTCCTACCAAGCAAAAGGATCACCTCCTGTGGACAGGGGCCACTGAACTGCCTCCCAGTTTTCTTTATGTCCACCCATAACAGCATTGTTTCTTGTTTCATTGTCTGTCTGTCTATATATGTATGTGTGGGAGTTTTAAAAGGGACTTGGAGTTTTAACTAGTAGACTTATAGGTCAACAGTTCTTAGTTATTTATCCATGGTTAGAATCTATTTACTTGTAATAAGTAGTAATTTCTGTTACCAGAACTCTGGTCCATGTTTTCTGTTCGCTAGGGTCTAACAAGACAGGTAAATTGAGTACTTTTGTACTTTAATCAAATGATGACTCCTGGAATAACAGGGTTTGATTTCCAGTGTGCTACCCAAGTGGGGCATGACATTATTAGACCAAGGCGTTTGAGTAGTCTTTTCCATGTATTAGCCATGGGCTTTAGCAGCAAGCATCAAAAGACAAGAGAATGGTTCCCTACTTAAACTCTCACTCCCATGTTGAGTCAGTGACATTGTGTTGGAAGTGGGTAACTGTCTGCCCATTTCAGAGAATCACAACAGTCTGTGGGTCATTAACTGGGCAGGTCCTCTCAGCTAGAGGTGGGAAGTCACAAGGAATTAGAAAATGTGAGTGCTACTTAAAATTAACTTGATGCGCTGCACATCTCTTACACTTTGTTTTCAGAATGTTTTGAAAAATCAGTGTTTGGCAGTCAAAATTGGAAGTGAGATTGTTAAACCAAAAATCATTTCTGGTCAAAGTAACTTGAGGTCTGAGCCTCAGTTAATCATTTGAAATATTTGGTAGTGTTTCTAAAAAAAATGTAAAACATTTCACAGATACACCCAGCAAATTTCTCTTCACTAAAGACAGAGCACTACCTGACTCATTCCACAATATATCCGTGCACAGTTTGCTGAAAGCAGTCAGACATGTTAACTCAAGGAACCTGTTTTTCTAGTCTTACCTTGCCACCCTGCCTTGAAGCTCCCCAATGCCATTCAGATGATGTAGTTCAGGACTTTTCATCACAGCATTGCTTCTAGGGATTGCATCATCTCGTATCCTAATTTGTTTTTGCAGCACCTAATGTACATCCAAGGTAATTGTTTAGGTCTGGTTATGATGGAGAACAAGAGTATTCAAACTAATGTGTATGTGGGTACATTCTGAAAAATACTGCATTAAAGCATGCATGCTTTGTGAATTTTAAAATTGTTGTCCAGATTCCAGTGTGCAGTGTAATAGAATTGTTCACACTCACCTCTGAGTCAGAAAGGTCTGTGTTCAAACTCAACTCCAGGATTTAAGAACATCATTCAGGTAATTATCTATTCAGAAATGTAGGAGGGGAAGGGGGTTCTGAAATAAATAGGGAGAGAGGGGGAGACGGATAGAAGATGGATAGAGGAGAGGATAGGTGGAGAGGAAACAAACAGGTCGAAGAGGCGGGGATGGAGCCAGTAAAGGTGAGTGTAGGTGGGGAGTTAATGAGGGGATTGGTCAGTCCAGGGAGGACGGACAGGTCAAGGGGGCGGGATGAGGTTAGTAGGTAGGAGATGGGGGTGGGGCTTGAGGTGGGAGGAGAGGATAGGTGGGAGGAAGAACAGGTTAGGGAGGCGGGGACGGAGGAGGTTAGGGAGGTGGATTTCACAAGTTTCAAAATCTCCCCTCCCCCTACCGCATCCCAAAACCAGTCCAGCTCGTCCCCGCCTCCCTAACCTGTTCTTCCTCCCACCTATCC